GAAAGAGTGACAGTAGTCACGCTCTTATTCAAAGAGAAATAATGCTGATTTGGAAATTATCTAACATGATCTCCACAGTAAGCTAATTGCTTTCAGATTTAGATCTTTGCTGTGTGGCAAGAGCTCACTCTCCACGAAGTTAAAATTCTGCTGCTCATGTGCCTGATTTTTAAGTGAAATTTCTGGGATCTTAGCATGAGAACAGTGAAAACTGCCTGCTAGAGTATTAGAAAGCTGAAGACATGTTTCCTAGTGATGAGGTAGGTTAATTAATTTCCTGTAATGCGAATGTAATGTTTGAAGGCACACAAAATAGAAAAAAATATAAAGAATTTACTACCAGAAACATCCTTAATGAGATGCAAGATTCTAGTTTCCTACATGTTTCTATGGAGTTCTTGCTTAACTAATAGTAACTAAATGCTGAAAATGCAGCAGAGTGCAGTGGTCAAAATAAGCAACTCACAGAGACAATGGACAGACAGTTAGTTCAAAGCACAGAGCAGCTGCAAAGCTGCGTTAGAGAAATGGACCAAAGTACTGTCATCCTAGATGATTCCTGGAAGCTGACTTGACAAACAATGTTTTCTGCCATAGTTTGCATAGGCTCCATAGCACAGGGCTGGCACTTTCTCTTTTATGGCATGCCTGTAGCAATTATTGGCTAAAGCTTGGCATGCAAATCTGTATTTCTAATTGACTTTGTAGATGCACTTAATACTTTCTGTATATGCCTGAATTATTAATTGCCTTGGAAACAAATATTCTACAAATCCCAAAATAGGCAGCAACAGGTTTCTGTGCCAGTGTCCCTGTTGCGCAACAGAGAGCCAATTCTCAGAGTGAGAAGTGAGATGAGACCTTTTGGTCTCTTTGCTGAGCTCCCCATAGTGTATTGCCTGTGCTGCATATATTTCTCTAAGACAAAATTGGGACTGGAACCACACATTCATTTCAGAAGCCATTAGGTCCCGACTTCCAGGCATTAAGAACTCTGGGCAATGGATCCATGACAAAAGTTATCCCCAATCTCAAGGAAACAAATCTACTTCCTTCTTTAAAAAAATAAAAAATCAAAAATCTGTCAAAACTGAAGCAGCAGATACTGAAACTTTAGCTCAATTTGGGATGAATTTTCATAGCTGAAAGTGTAAAACCTTGCTAAATAGCAGGTTTGAATGCAAACGTCAAGACGCTTTGCAGAGAATATTTTTCCCAGTATCTTCCACTCTATATTCAAAGCCAGACTACTTAAAAGCAATGATGTTAAACTGCCATTTTTAACATTTAGTGGCATAGAATACTGGAAAAATCTCCAGGATTTGAGACTGCTTATATATTAGAGGTGTATTTTAGTAGGACTACAACACTGTAGAAAGCATAGCAACAGCAAATCAGTTCAACACTTTAACTGGACACGATGCAAGTATGTGATTGCAAGAAAATATCAAAGCACATAGCAACTTCACTTACTTACAACATGCACCACAGCCAATATACATACTCAAACTGTATGCCATGAGGTCCCCTAAAAATACACGCTGCATTGAAGATATGATCCACAGTGTGCAATTCCTCTTCTATGGGAAAACTTAAGTCCATGTTCACTAACCTGTGCTTGTATTTAAAGTATTGTAAAGACATGCTGAGTGTTTCTATCAAGGTGTGTGTTCTTCTAAGATGTGGGATTTTTTTTATTTTTTATTTAAATATTTGTCAGAATTAAATGAATATAAACGCTAAAAAGAATGTGTTAGAAATCTCCCAATTCCGGGAAAGAAAGAGGTTCATTAGGAGAGGATGGGATGCTGGAAGACGACCAGAACCGGAGCCGATTAGAGAGAGACTGATGATTTGATGGAGACTTAGGAGACTTTTCTTTATCCTTGGTTTTGCTTCTCAAAAAGGCAATCTTTTTGCGCTGCGTAGCTAAATTGTTATCACCCAGGTATCCCGAAAAGAAGAAAAAAATTAAAAAAAAACTTGTAAGTAAAACTTAAAGTTTCTTAGAACAGATTAAAGACTACACAACTAGTAGAAATAAAGAAGGCTAAACAAAGACTAACATATTTGGATGACTGCTTAACACATTATATTAATCATAGTCAATCTGACTCAGATTAATGCATAGATTAATACATATACACAAAATATAATAAAGTCCATTCAGAAATTACTGTTGATCACTCAAAATGGTTTTATTAAATGAAGTAAAATCAGATAGGTGCGCATGTTAATTGGTGATAATATACTCAAAATCTCCTAGACGTCCTTCTAGGTTTTAATAATGATACTCATCATCTCAACATAAGCACATTTCACAGAACATCAGAAAGAACAAAGCCTTAGAAACTCTTTCATCTCTGGCACTTCATGAGGGCCTTGTTTGGTGGAATCCCAAATGCAAACTCCCAGGTTGAATTTTGGATGCATGTTAAACATTTAATATCTCCTGAAATCACATGAATGATCTGAGACATGCATTTTTATTTTAAGTGAACCAATGACCTCAAAGAACTAGAATGGAGAAAATATAAAACCCAAATAAAACAAAAACTTCAGCCAGACAGACACATGAATTTATAACAACAGCTTTACCCTCCTCAGCCACTTCTCTTCTGTCTCCCACACTCCCCAGTGGGAAGATAAGAATTATTATTTAAGGATTAATTTCAAAACTGCTTCTTGAAAAGTATTCCTGCAGGGCAACAGTCTACATATAGAAGCTGACAGAAGTGATCTCAATACAATAAGCAAAGCTTGGTATATATAGTACCTTTAATAAAGACTTTGAGGAGCTTTCTTTTAAATTTCCCATAATTAAGAACCGATTTACTGTATGAACTAACTAAACAGAAAAAGAAATCATTTCATCTTCCTCATATTTGCCTTTGAGTGTATAAAACCATCATTTCATCATTTTAAATTAAGAAATCCTTAGTGTGATTCAAAGTCCAAACAGTGTATCATCCCCCAAAATAACTGGATTACAATAAATTAGCATTTTCGATGTTATTTATTTTGCATGTGCGCCATCTTCTGGCAGTGGCTGTAAGACCAGCTACTGCCCATTTAAGAATAGTTTATAATGAACCGTAATATTACACGGTCCAACTTTAAACTGTTTCGTTGCAAAATCCCAGTAAATGAAGTATTTCTGCCAACTTATTCAGTAACATGCAATGCATTCAGACAAACCAAGAAATTACATATAAAACCTGAAGGGAGAAGCAGAAGGTAAAAGAACAAACCAAACTAAAAATTTTGCTTTTTAGTTTAGGGGTTTTTTGCTTACTAAAACTTTAAGTTTAAAAAAAAAAAACAATCAAACAAACAAAAAAACCGATAGCAAACATAATGTGATGGAGCATTAACATATCCTATATATTAAGTATCTTTAAAGTCTTTCTTAAATGCTTTCAAAAAATACTGTTCAGGTCATGTATTTAGACTGAGCATTCCTTACCTTTGTTTGAAGAACCTCCAGGGTTCTCTCTCTCTTCCATAGAGTTTGACCCTTGAGAGTTACTATCCTGAGTCTCTTGTTGATGTTTCAGTTTTTGGGAGGCAGATGGAGAGTTTACAGTCTCTGCGGATTCAGAATGCCATTGAGGGCTTTCTGCTGCTGGTTTCAACCGCTCCCTTGTAGTCTCCTTCTTTGGCTTGATTAGTTTGACTAAGGCTCTGGCTCCAATCCAATGGTTTTTCCTGATAAAGTAGGTTTTGTGAATGGGATTCATAAAACACTACAAGCAAGTAATTCATAAAACACTACAAGCAAGGCTAACACCATCGAGCCTTCGTACATTCTTATTTGATTATTGACATGAATTGGTTCGAAAGATGCAGCGAGAACTTCACAGAGCTCAAGTTCCATCTCTCTCCCAAAGTCTAAATTATTTTACAGAAATATTTCTTCTGCATGAGCAATGTGAGAAAGACAACTGTTCCCTCTGCTAGAAATATAAATTACATATATGGACACACGTAAGACACTAGTGATGTGAAAAGCTCTACTACAGGAAGAGTCAGAGAAGGAAAGGAATTAAAACTGCTTGAAAGATAAATGCCTCTCTTTGCTAAGGCTATCAATCAGAACTATGTGTGGTGGAATTAGCTTGGCTCTTTTCTGTTGTTCTTAATGTAGTTTGTTTTAAGTCCTTTCTCTCCAATGGACCCTTCTTACCCTCAAGAACAGCAGAACTAAAGCCATAAGGGACTTACTTTTTTGGAGTAGGATCATAAAACTTGTACTGATCCATTATCTTTTCTTCAAGTTTTTCCTTGTGTCTCCTTAAGGCATTCAATTTATCACTGTGAGAGGGAAAAGCACATTCTGAACTGTCTGTATGAAATCAATCATAATGACAAAAATTGTAGACCAAAAGCCACCAGATCACTGACAATTGAACTTCATTGTCCACATGATAACTGGGTATTTTATTCCTGTGCTGCTACTCTGTTATAACTGGAGAAATTAATAATGTTTGATCTTTTTAAGACTACTTTGGTCCCCTATGAGCAGTGTCAAAGCACTTTCAGGAGTGTCATGTAATCTTACCATTTTTTTTTACTTATTTTATTAGTCTTTGCAGTGAATGTTAGCAAATCTCTTTTCATTCAAGTAGTAGGTTTAATGTACCTCAAACAGAATTGTCAGACACCTGGATAAATATGCTTAGAGTCTCTCAGTACATTTGAACTGTGTTCAGCCAATTTCAGCAAACAATTTCTAACATTTCAACCATATAATCCACTACTAAAATAAAACCCAGTCAGTAACTCCCACATCACTCTGAAGTGCTTAGACTAAAATTCTTGGGATTAAGAACACTTTTCTTCCTTCCTTCATACCTATAAGAGAAATTCACTGCAGTGAGAACAGGATTCTTTGTAAATGTACAGTGTTTAAACAGGGCATCTCAAAGCATTTCACCCTGTGCTTGCAGTCGCAGCAATGTATGTTGACACTTGCACCCTTCAAAAACAATACCAAAGGAGGTATTTATTAAAATGCAAATGACAAAAACTAGAGTATGGATACTTGCTATTCTTCAGGAATCTAAATATAAAATCAATCTCATAAGACTGTATTTTTGTTGTAAGTCAGCTGTTTTCCAAGCTCTTCAAAAACCTTTGAGAAGTTCCATCTTTTGTAATGCAGTCTTCAACATGGGTTTGTCTGTATTATTTGAAAAGAGCTGAGCTTGTCCAGGTACCTCCTGAACATCCCTTTGTGGTAAGGCAATGAGAAGACATTTTGTTGCTTCTCCACATTACATAGTAGCTCCTCCTGAATACCTCATTTTCTAGACAGGCATCAAGTAGACCTACCATTCCCCTGCTTGTCCTACTCCTGATAACTGTTTCTATTCTATGTTTGTCTAGATGACTTTTTTAGGTTTCACAAATCAAATCTCTAGTTTCTCACATGTATTGTTTCTGTTCTTCATGATACTGCTCCTTGTTCTCCATGTTTTGCTCCAGTAACATCTGATTCTGCTGGCTCAGCATCTGAATCTGACTCAGGAGATGATGGTTTTCTTCTTCCAGATTTCCTTTTAGACGGGACAGCAGCTATTAAACAAGATAGATTAATCTCTCCTTTGCATCTGGATTCCCTGGAAATGCACCATAATCAAGCTAACAGAATAGCAGAGCAACATAGGATACGATGATAAACTTCAAAGTAAATGCAGGTCTTATTATGACCCCATAACTTGACTTTATATCATGTGCCAGAAACTTGACACAATGAATGTTAGCTCTCTAGCAGGGACCCAGCAGTGTACCTATCTACAGCTACTCACCTCACAGTGGTTATCCAGCTTGGTCAGAGAGATATCCATGGACTGGTGCTGTTCTTTCAGCTCATCATAGCGAGCCTGCCAACGATTCAGCTCCAGTTGAGAGTTGTTCAAGGAAGTTTTCAGCTCTTTAGTGTGTGCATGTAGACCTTCATATTCTGCCTTTAGTTGGCTGTGAAAGAAATTCACCCTAAACACGAAGAAGTCAACAGGCTTATGAAGGTCACTTCATAGAAAGCACCACACATCCAAAGACCATACCATCAGTGTGCAGCTGTTACTACATCAAACATTCAGTTCCAAAGACTAACTCATAACGGCATTTTTACTCTTAAGCATATAATTAAATTTTATTAAGAAAGTAGCACTAGCAATATAAAATATTTCAAATCTACAAAAGAATTGAAAGGAAAATAGATTAACATGCAACCAATCTTTCTTCAGTATGTAAGAAACAAAACACAGATTTCTGAGGCACAACATATTTAAGAGCATTTGGATACAGAGGCAGCTCTATTTGGCACAAATAAAGAGGACTCACAGAACTTTTTTCTTGATGCATGAAATATGAGCATTAATATGTCCTGAACTGTGAAATATTGTAATGTTCTAAGATGACACTGTGGCATTCTTTCATAGCATTTGGAAAATCTAAGAATGTGTACAAATCATGAAGGCATAAAATTTAAAGATTAAGGTCTTCATTTGCTGACAGATCAGCTAAGCCTTGCTGTCTGCCAGCATTGCAATCAACACACAAGAATTTAGCAAGAGAACCATACCTGTCCAGTTCCTCCCTCAGCTTCTGGTTTTCCCCAGCAGTTACTGCATTTGATCTCCTCTCTTGTTGCAGAATCTCTCTTTCGGATTTTAAAACTATTTCCAACTCTTCCAGTTCTGCCTTGTGTTTCATTAAACTGTTGTATCTGCAAAAAGAGTAGCAGCATTTAAATAGCTTTCTTTTAAATATTTTTCTTCCTCTAGTTTAAGATTTTTAATAGGTAGCACCACAACGACCAGAAAATACTTTTTTCTCTTGCCTGCTTAGTTTCATACACATTTGTGTGGTTAAATATCTACCTTTCTTCAATTCAAGATTCTGATCATTTGGTAAAAAGCACACAAGTCTCTAGGGTGACTGGTAACTGCACCATTAAACTGCAATCAACTCACAAATAATTATCAGTGGCAGGTTTCAAAAACCTCACTAAAAAGCAGAAAATAGCATCCAAAAAGCAACATGAAAGCAGTAGAATAAGCAACAGCTTATTAGGTAACAAACTAATGCAGATTAGATTATATGCATAACTAATAGCATCTTGGATAAGTAATAATCTCCTGCATATTCCAGGCAGATGATGAGGCTAGTATCGGTGAGCTGCCAGCAAAACACCTTTAAGCAGGGGCTGACCCATCTCCTTGAGTGGCTCTACTTGCTCACTAGTGAGAAACTCAAGAGCAACTGGTGCTCACACCCAGGCTTCCACTCTTGGTTTATACAACTTGTGCGTAAATCATTCAGGGTGGGGAGACGGGCAAACACTATCAATTCTGTCTTTAATTTAAATCTCTGTAATGCTAAAATAACAGAGGTGTGGAACAACTCCCCTGATACTTGACACAGGCATTGATAGGCAGGCTCAGCCTCCCTGAGCTGCTATACTGCCTGCATTTGGAAAACACTGTGAAGAATGAGGTGTCTTCAGACTGTATTGCAAATCAGCAAGTTGTTCTCAGATGATTCTTTTTTCCCCCTCTGGTGGCCTCTGTCAGGGTCTGTGCCCATACACTCACATCAGCAAAAGCCACTGGGGCACTGGTGCAGTGAACATCAAAAGCCATCAGCACATTTCTCTGCGACTGTGATAAAAGAATATTGCCCCAAAATATCCTTAGGCAGACACACCTGTACCAGTCATGGAGAAACATCTTTCTAAGCCATTTTAAAACAGTAATTAGATGGAAGATGCAGCATTGCTTGGAAAAGCTAGAAAGAATAGGCATCCTCTATCCATGGCTCTCATCCCAGCACAGACAAATGCAGAGCAAAGCTATTCTGCAGCCATGAAACTTCAAAACAAAAACAAAAGCAGCAGACAGTACCAAATACACTGACTCCTGCCAACTTGTTTTCCTTTCAGGCTACCATTCCCTTCATCCCTGGGTCAAATTACAGCCTGTCCCCAATTCCAGTCCATTGAAGAGCCACACAGAAAAGTACCTGTCTCCCAGACAAAAGCTGCTTTTTGCTATTCATTCCCAGTAACAGCAGTGAAGTTTAATTAACCTTATCTGTTTTCTTCCTCCATTCAGCTCCAGGACATTTCAAATTCAATGTCCGTACAACAAATGGAAGAACCTGAAAGCAGAGGAAGGTTTCACATCCAGCTCCAAGAAGGATTTAAGACAGACAGTGTGCCAATCCAGCGTCTGAGAAGACAAACTCCACAGTCAGTCCTTTGGCAGAGATTACCACGGCTGCCCCTGCAGAAACTGCGTTCTGAATTCTTTTGCCATTTCTGTACGATAGGTCTATTCTGCTCATTTTTATCCAAGCCCTCTATTTCTCAAAGAGAGCTGCTTAGAGGGAAGCAGTATACTGGTCCAGTTTAACCAGCTTGGCCCAGCTCCACATGTTGCCTTTGAGCATGAGAACCCCTGAGGCAGACCACAGCTGCTCCCCCATAGTCAGTGAAAGGTAAAAAAGAAGAGACTGTCTGCAAAATTGCAAGTGATTCTGCACCTCTGGATCCCTAATGAAATCCCTAGGCAAAATTTTCTTGTAGTCCAGATTCAGCACAGCGTCTACTATTTGAGGCAAGATTTGTCCAACCTGACAAGCTCTACACCACTGGGGTCAAGGTTACCCATCCTGTGGACTATTCAACATTCATACCCACACCACTTTAAGCATCAGGCACTTGGACAGAGGGGTTTTTCAAAGATTCTTACGCAAGCAAATAAAATCCATTTGGCTCTGATGCAATCCATTCCTGGGACTAAACAATCATACTCCTCTTTACTCCTTTTGGTTTTCACTCTTTCTGCTGCTTTGTTAGGAGAATTACTGCGGGTAAGTATTTGTGACTAAGAAAACTTTAAAAATGCTCAGCTATGATAAAAATCATATGGCAAACAGAACTGAGAAAAAAATCACCAGCCAGCAGTGGTAACACCATAATTAATACAAGTCCCTGTAACATGTAACCCTCACAGCAGAGATTCTGGTTTGGGGTTTTGTTTCCAGAGAGGAGTTTTTCCAGTGTCTCTGCAGGATTAGACTTCTCCAGAGTAAGCCACAAAGAAAATGCTCAAGGATCTGCTAATGAATTGTACCTCATAAGTTATTACCTCCCCTTTGAAACGTGCAATACGTAAAGCAATTTAAAAAAACGCAGCAAAAGAGTCCAGCCTTTCTGTGTTCACTGAGATGGTCAGCCAAATGCCACAAAGTCAAAAAACTGCTATTAATGGTAAATGACCCTAACATACTAACTCTCTGTTTCTTGCCAAGTCAAACCCACATATCTGTGGTTTGCTGGGCTATGACAGGCCATTTCACTGCAGTTACACCCAACCCATTATTAAATCCCCACTGCAGTGCTAATATTTTGCATAGAGAGCCAAGGGAGGTTTAATGAAGTTTGCTCAGGTGCAGAAAATATTCTGTGGTTAGAATGCATCAGAATGAACTACAAAAACCTTTGGGACCTTGGCTGTACACAGCGTTAGGAGTCCACATGCTAACTAAGGTTGCTGTGAGTTGTTCTAGACAAGCTGCAGTCATAGGTTTGTGCAGGAGTACCATCCTGCCATGATTACACTATTGTCACCAACTGAGAAAAAACAATTACCTTGGAGATGTGACAAACAAAACTCATCTCTTAGGTGCTGCACAAACAAACTTCTTGGCTGCACTAAGCTGCTCTGAGAAAATTTAGCAGGTAGTGCATTCTAGCTGAAGTTGAAAGTGAGATATTTCATCCTAGCAGTTAAATACCTCAGAGTAGCAGAAGAAAACAGTTTTCTTACAGTTGTTTTTCTAACTATCTCCC